GGGTCCTGGCAAGGGGTCACTGCCTGTCCTGGCCAACCCATACATTTCCTGGTCAGCTTCCGACCTTGGAAACAAGAGCATAGGTGATGCTGAGTGTGGCTTAGAGAAACCCTCAGTCAACGTGTGCTTCATTTTCCTGTGGGCCTAACTCCCACCTGTGTGGGGATATGCAGAGGCAAGGGTAGCTTTAGAGAATAAAGAGTTGTCTAGTTGATTAAAGGAACCCCAGGGAACAGGGGGGGTAGTGGGGGCTAGAATCCAACTTACTCCTCTGGGCCTTTCTCAGAGTGTCTGTCTGACCTCCCAGGGACACCCTGCCCATTGCCCAGCCCTGGACACTGCCTTCTCTACTGGCCTTACCCAGGGCAGTGTCCTTCCAGCAGATGCTGTGCCCTACCTTCACCTGTTGTCCCTGCTGCTCCTCTCTGTCTCCTGTCTCATCTTTACGGTTTTACCTTCTACCCCATCTGGACCACTTTCAAAAGCCCCTACCTCACCCATGGTGTCCTCTGATGAGCCTTCCCATCTTTGGGGAGGGCAAGGCCCAGCCCTAGAACTTTGTGCCTGCCCACTTCATAATCCATAGTAGGACCACCTTCCTCATCCAACCCCCTTATACAGCCCAGAGAAGCTGGTACCTCACCTTGCCCAACATTGAGGGGCTTCACGTATGATGTCAAACCTGGCATTTTCTTCTAGCTCCCCTTCCTGTAGGTGAGGTCAAGCCTTAGACCCTGCATGAAAGTGAAATATAACTCATGAACATATTCTGGCTGTGTTGCTTTGGGAAAGTTACTAAATCTCTCTGAGACTCAACTTCCAACTCTATAAAATGACATCAAGAATACTTATCTAATGTCTTGCCAGGCAAGGGGAACTAAGAAGAGTTTCTAGAATACACAGGTTCCCATCCGATCAGAGCAAATTAGTGTCTTCTTGTGTGTGTGTGTGTGTGTGTGTGTGTGTGTGTGTGTGTGTTTGAGACAGGGTTTCCCTGTAGTGCCAACTGGCATAGAACTCCCTATGTAGACCAGACTGGCATTGAACTCACAGAGATCTGCCTGCCTCTGCCTCCCAAGTGCTGGAATTATAGGCCTGGCAAATTAGTGTCTTTTTATCTACTTTTCCTTGTTGGCCTATCTAGAACCTTGGAGAAGATTCCAGGAATGGACAGGAGTCTGATTCTGGGTCCTCCGCATATGGTGTTAGGAGGATCTCATGCTTCCTACTAGCTTCTGGGGTCACTGACCCAGTAAAGGGAGGCTTTCACCCAGCACACAAGTATGGCTGCCCTTCCCTAGAGCCACCTTGTTAGTCCACCAGAGCTGAGGCCCTGGTCTAAGCCCTTTAAAATGTCATCCTATCTGTCCAGGGGTTCCTGGGCCCCTCTCCACACCCAGGACAGTAACAGGTCATAGAAGCAGCAAAAACAGTTTGGGCAACAGAAGGTCACAGGTGCTTGCTTTTAGGGACAGCCACCCTCAGGGGAGATGAGATGGTGCCACACATGCAGAGATTAGAGCCACAGAACACCGTCAAGCAGCGGCAGAAGTTGAGAAGTGGCCCGTGCCCAGCCATGGGAAGAGTGAAGGGGTCAGGGGAGGCCCTGGAGGAGGCCAGGCCCCTTGGACAACAGTGCCTCAGGAGTACCCACATCTGTGTTCTGTATGCAGGCTAGCAGCTGCAGGTAAAGGGCTGGTCACCCCCTACACACTGGGCTCTAGGGTGCCTCTCAGAACCTGGTGTCTATACCTAACAATGGCACACCTGTGGGGACAGTCACGTTTGCCCTCCCTTCCTCTCTTCTGTTCCAAGAGGCCAGGCCTTGTCCTATGCTTTGCCCAGTCCTCACAGGCTGGGAAAACAGCTGGGACTGGCCTTTCACCTCCATGGCCCAAGCTCAAATAGGGCTTTGCAGAGGAAATGGCTCGCTGGCCTGCCCAGCCTGCACTGACCAAGCAAGCAGGACTCTTGGCTTTTAGTCCCAGCTGTATCTGGGATCCTGTACCTCTCTGATCCTTAGTTTCTCACCCATAACATGGAATGAGGTAGGGTCATCTGACTGCTCTTGGAACTCTAAGCTCTGGTGATTTGTCTTGAGTTGGGGCTGGGGACAGAGAGCTGTGGCGATTGTGTGGTCAGGTTAGGGGACAGCAGAGGTGGGAGCCTGGAGGCTCTGCCCTTGCTTTTCTGTCCCATGGAGCTACTAAGGGAGGGCAGCTCTGTGACCCTTGGGAGGTAGTGGCTGTCAGGGAAGGGGTAGCTTGCTCAGAGGCCTTTGGCCTCTTGGGGATGCCTGACGGGCTGTCAGGAGCTGGGGGCATGATTACAAATGGGGTGCTGGGTTGTTCAGGGTGTAGTTAATGTACTTTTGGTATCCACCAAGCTTCCCCTTCCTCTTGGCAGTTTGCTGCCAAAACAGCCTCGAAGCCTGTGGTGTTGCTTAAGTCGGATCCAGCAAAAATGAAAGAAAGGAAAGGAAAGGGGGGGAAGAGAAGAGGGTTGTTATTTTGTGAAATTGCATTTCCCAGCCGTGAGGGTGACTCACAGGGTTGGGAGCTTCGAATTTCTTGTTTGCATGAAATTTTCTCCAAGAGGATGGGGCGATGTTGCCCCAACGCACGGGGCCAATTTGTGATGCCAGGAGGGGGCAGGAAAGGGACAGTCTCCTATCCCAGTGAAGACATGGAGAGACCTTGTGCAAATGCTATTACCTAAACTTCCTGGAGCCTGGGCAGCGCAGGCTCAGATTGGGGGGTGGGGGGGAACAGGAATTATTGTTCAGTGGTTTTCGAGTTTTGGCTTGGGAAGGTGGAAGGTTCTAGAGGTAGATGGTGGTAATGGTTGCACCTCAATAAGAATACACTTAGTGCTGCTGAACAGTCTACTTAAGATCTTGAAACCGGTATTTGACCATATACCAAAATACACCCTTGGTCCCAAGTGGCCACTGTGGTGACTCTGAGGTGGAGTCCAGAAAACTGTTTTTGTTACAAGATTCCCAGGTCAGTCAATACAAGTTTGAACTCATTTCATCTGTAAAATGGGGGACAGTGACTCACCCGGCTGTGGTGAGAACCAGCTATCTTAGTAAGTGTACGGTTGCTAGGGTTTGGCCTGTCACTATGGTCACCTTGACTTACTTCCATCAGAGCTGTATCCTCCCTCCCCTCCCCCGCCCAGCCCCCAACTCCCTGTGCTTCAGAAGGTAACCCTGAAGGTTCTTCCTCTAGGGAGGCAGCTTCTGCCTCTAGAGGAGCTACTCCATTCTGGGCTCATCTGAGCACTGGAGGGTCAGCCCAAATGTTGTGCAGGCTAGTGCAGGAGCTCCCTGTAGATGGAGTAGGTGGCTGAGTAGATGGTCTCAGGATCCATGGGGTTCCCTTCCCCCGTCACTGCAAGAAGCCTTGGGCCACTCTTGAGTGTGGCATCTGTGTCCTTCCATGTTCCAAAGCTATATGAGAGGGAATAGAGGCCTAGCAAAGGAAGAGCCAGCTCAGGGCCACATAGCAGGGTGTCTGAGGTACAGTCTTAGCTAGATAATGAGGGCTGGGTCCCCTAGGAACGAGTGGCAGGCTTCTGAAGATGGAATGTGGGAGTAGAAGCTGCTCTCTTTGGGGTCCGCCTGGGTGTGCCCCGTGCCCTGGGGCTTGCTCTCAGCTCTTTTCTCTCCCTTCCTACACTGAGGAGATGCAGAGGACTGTCCATGCTCTGGGTCCCTGCCTGCCCACACTTTGCAAGAAAGGGCAAACCCTAGCTCTAACACCTAGTTTCCCCATCAGCCTAAGGACTCCTGAAAACGCTTCTTCTCTCCCTTAGCTCAGGGGCCATAGCTTAGCCCTGTCATTCTTGGGCATCTGTATTGGAGTCTCAGCCCCAAGCATTGTGCCCAGGTTCGCTGTTGACTTTCCTGGGGAGGCTGCCTCTTTCTAGCCTTGGCCTTTTGCTAGGAAAGGGGAACCCTTGGCTGTTCCTTGTCTGCCCTATCAGAAGCCCCACCTTTGCTAAATTCCAGTGTTCCAGGCCACCCGGAGCCCGTGATACCTATAAATAGAGGTTGTATACACCAGGAGAGCCTAGGCTGCGTCTGCTCGGGCACTCAGAGGGGTGTCTGGTTCCTGTCATGTGGAGGTTGGAGAGGTGGCCACTTCCCTCTCCTGGCTGCCAGAGAAGTGGCCCAGGCTGGCTGGGCTCCTCTGTGCATAGGCCTCTGGACTCTGTAAAATAGATGTCAGGCCACAAGCTCCTGAGCCTCCTCCTTCCAAGATGGAAAGTAGAGTGAACAGCCAGGTGCCTGAAGTTTCTCCACATCCAACCTGTGGCTCTTCATGATCCCTTCTATACTGATTACTTTGCTTATTTCTGTGACAAGATACCTAACAAAAGCAACTTAAGGAAGGAAGGGAGTATAGCCCATCATGGGGGTGGGGATCCTGCTATCAGGCAGATGGTCACACTGTGTCCACAGTCAGGAAACAGAGTGATGAATGCTGGTGCTCAGCTCACTTTCCTCTTTTTATTCAGTTCGTGGAATGGTGCCTCGCACATTTAAGAGTGGCTCCTCCCATCTCAGTGAACCCAATCCGGAAACTCCCTCACAGGCAGGCCCAGAGGTTTGTCTCCTAGGTGATTCTAGAGCCTGTCAAGGTGATAGTTGGTATTAACCACTATACCTTCTGACCTGGTGCAGTGTGTCAAGAACTAATAGTTATGAACATGACAGCCATGTACTCAGGGGTCACCATATACCCAGGGATCCAAAGGTGCAGGTATGAGACAAAGTGCTTTGCCTCATGGCCTTAGTTGACCCTTATGGCAGCCCACAGGAGGTGACTGTTCTTGTTCCCATGTTATAGGGACAGCCCCTGAGGCCAAACCCATAACTAAGGTTGCAATTAAACTCAGGTCCCTGGGCCAGCCGAAGGCTGCGTATGAATTGATGTGGGGTATTAAGTGGAAATTCTCTTTGCCGCAGCTCTGAATGGCCTCTGTCTCCACAGGCGTTGAGCAGTAGTGTGTACAAGACTGCCTCACCCTATGGCTCCCTCAACAACATTGCTGATGGCCTCAGTTCCCTCACTGAGCACTTCTCAGACCTGACACTCACCTCTGAGGCCCGCAAGCCCAGCAAGCGTCCCCCCCCCAACTACCTGTGCCACCTGTGTTTCAACAAAGGACACTACATCAAGGACTGCCCTCAGGTAAGGCAGCCCAACCTGGCCTGGCTCTCCGGCTTCCTTTCTGACTGGGATCCATGCTGGTCTGTGGGTAAGTGGACACTGTGATCTCCCTGGGCCTTCTGTCTTCTGCTACAGTCAAGTGAGGCATGGCTGGTGGGGATGAAGGGACATGGGCTCCATTTGGGCTGTGATGCATGCTCAGCAATCTGTGTGGGGGATTCTGGTCTGAAACTGGGCCCCCAAGTAAGGTTCTGGTCCTTTGGGTCCCATAAGCATTCCTGCAGGGTGGCTCCCATTATGGTGGGGCAGGACACGCCAGCAGCCTTCTCATAGCTCTCTGGAGGCCCCATCTGCACACACACATCAGGAAGGAATGCAGGCTCCGGTCCAGGAATCCAGATGTGCACCCCCTCCCACAGGCCCACCTCTGCCTCCTCCTGCCTGGAGCAAGGAGGATGGGGCTTCCGGCCTATTTGTGCCCCAGGATAAATCTGGGCAAAGGCCTTGGGTGCCAAGGGACCAAGGAGTCTCTCTTAGGGACCAGGAGATGGAGGGTGTTAGAGGTAGCCCCAGTCTGTCCCCTGTGCTTTGTGGTAATGTAGGGCTGCTGCAAGCTGGTCCTGTTGCCCGGATGACCCTAACCTCCCCCCACAGACTTGGGATCCTGGAGAGAGAAGGTAGCAGCTGTCTTTTTAAGTACACTTTGAATTTATCAGTGATTCTTTTTCTTTCCTGTTTTTTTGGTTTTTTTTTTTTTTTTTTGTTAACATCTTCCAATTTTTTAATAATGTGTTTCTGGTTTTATTTTATATATGTAATGGAAATGGAATCCTGGTGACTCTGAAAAGCCATGTAGTGTTACCCTCCAGATGCAGAAAGCCAGAGTGGGCTGGGTGGGGCAGGGCTGGGCCTGGGACCCGGGATGTGTTTGCCAGCCATGCCTCACATCCCAGACTCTTTTCAGGAAGGACTGTGCAAGGCTTAAAGGCTGGCCCAGGCACAGCTGTGCTGGTGGTTCCTGGGAGGTTGGTAGAAAGCTAGAACCCTAGACCTACCCTAGACACACATGCTGGTTCAATCGCCAGAGTGATGTGTGTGCCTCCTACACCCAAGCCCTGCAAGGTAAGAACAGACCACTGGTGGTGTTCTCCACACCCTGAACCTCCATTCCTCCATGGACACAGTGAGCAAGAGGCCCTTGGTGTCATGTGACTTTACTGGATGCCAAGTTCTGCCCCATCCCCAGGGCTCTCTGGGTAGGAGGAGCAGAGGGTAGCTAAGGGTCTTTGTGATTCTCTAACTTTGCCCATCACCTACCCCCGCCCCCAGCCAACAGCCCCTCAGGCCCTTCCCAGCTGAGAGCTCACTTAGACAACTGTACAGGACTCCTTGAGAACTCTCTTTCCATACTCTCATACACTGCCTGGGAAATGGGTGAGCAGAACCCAACCCAGCTGAGGAGGGGACAGGCCTTGTGCCAAATGTGCCCCAATGGCATTTCATAAAATGCTCGTGACTGCCTGTACATCGTTGACTCCCATGAACGTCGTTCTGCAAGGCTGGGACAGGTGCTTCAAGCAAGGAAAGGACTTCTATGCAGAAGTTGAACTGGTCAGCAGAGGAACTGGGATTTTAACCTGGGGAGGCAAGGGTCTTCCAAATGCTGGGATGAAGGGTCCCTCCTGCTTTCCCACACAGTGCTAACATGGAGTTTCCTTCATAGAAATCTTTATCTTAACTCTATGGCAGAAGCAGGAGGTGTGGCCCATTGGCAGGGGGACAGACTGAGTCTTGGAGAGCTGTAGAGGACACAGAATTGGTGCTCAATGCCTCCCTGAGTACCCAGGCCACCCCCAGCTGAGGACCCCTATGCTCTGTGCAGCTCCTGGGTGCACTTGAGATGGCTGAAGCTTTCTATCCTGGTTGTGTCAGGTTTCCGGAAGGCCCAGGCATTGCCCTGCCCACTTCAGTGATGGAGGCAGAGATGGAACAAGGAAAGTAGAACACTATCACACAGGCACAATGACATGAAGCAGGGAACGTGCATGGCAGGGCCTGGCATGATGGGAGGTTGCCTGACATTACTCTTTACTTTGGTGAGCACCCACCTGACTGGGTGCTGGGTGCTGGGGATTTTGGTGGGTTACAATTTAGTTGGAAGCTATGTACCCTCAACTGACCACAAGCTTCTGGGTCACGTTTCTTCCTGTACCCTTTGCCATCTGACCCCTGTACCAGCTGAGGTTCCCATCCTATCAGTGTGTAGCACAAGTCTTCCTGAAAGAAGGAATGGGGTGACCAAGGTTTTATCAACCACAGAAAGATACCCAAGTCTCTAATGAAGTCTTATACAACAGGTCAAAATATGTAATATGTAAGTGTGGTGTGGTGGCTCATGCTTGTAGTTCTAGTACTGGGAAGCTGAGACAGAAGGGTCACCATGAGTTCAAATCCAGTCTAGGCTATGTAGTAAGAAAGACCTTGGCTCAATAAACAAATATAAGCTATAAACATAGGGTGCTTTTTTGGGTAAGAGTTTGAATGAGGCACAATTCATCATGTTATTTACACATCTAAAATGTACCAATTCCATAGTTTTAGTATATTTAAAACCTTGTACAGCCATCACCACAGTCAGTAATGGAACATCCTCACAACCACGGGCCCCCTTTCTCTGTAGACTGGCTTGTTCTAGAGAAATCCTGCAGTAGGACCATGTAGTGTGGAGGGTTAGGGCCTGGCTTTTCCCTCTAAGCGTGTTTCCATGTTCACCTATGTGCTGCAGCATATCAGTTTCTGTGATTTGCAGAGTTGTCTAGTGTTCTGCTTTCTGGAAGAGATCATGAAGTCCTATAAATTCTCTGTGAGATGTTCAGTCAGGGCCCGGAGAGATGGTTCCGTGGTTAAGAGTGCTGCTCTTCCAGAGGACCTGAGTTAGGTTTCCAACACTCACATCGGGAGGCTCAGAACTGCCTGTAACTCCAGCCCTAGATCCCACACGCTCTTCTGGCCTCTGTGGACACCTGCACACATGCGCACATGCTCACGCACACACACGTACACATAAAATAAAAATTTAAGTAAAAAAGGAGATGTTTGGTAGAACCCACCTCCAAAGCTCTCTGAGCCCAGGCTTTCCTTGGTGGGTAGGTTTTGATGAATGGTTCAGTCCCCTTTCTTGTTCTGGATCTGTCTGGGTCTATTCAGTCTGTCTTCTGTAGTTTGTTTCTAGAGTTTGTGTCTTTTTAAGAACTTTTTGGGGCTGGAGAGATGGCTCAGAGGTTAAGAGCACTGACTGTTCTTGAAGAAGACTGGGGTTTGAATCCCAGTACCTACAACTATCTGTAACTCCAGTTCCAGGAGATCCAGTGCCTCTTCTGTTCTCCACAGGCACTGCACGACATGGGTACACTTACACACATGCAGGCATAACACTCATACACATTAAAAAATAAAAAATAAATAATTTTAAAAGATGCATTTTTTTTTTTTGTCTTTTTGAAGCAGGGTCTCCCTGTAGCCCCAGCTGTCCTGGAACTCACTATGTAGACCAGGCCCGCCCCGTGAACTCACAGAGATCCGCCTGCCTCTGCCTCCTGAGTGCTGGGATTAAAGGCGTGTGCCACCACGCCCTGCTAACATCTTAACTTTTAAAAAAAAGTTATGTGTGTGCATGTGTTTGCATGTGGGTGTGTGTATGTGCACGTGAGTACAGGTGCCCTCAGAGAATAGACACATCAGATCCCCCAGAGCTGGATTTACAGATGATTCCATGTGCATGCTGGGAACCAAACTTGGGTACTCTGTAAAAGCACTACACGGTCTTACCTGAGGAGCCATCCCTTCTGCCCTACTTTTTTTTTTAAGACAGTCTCACCACGTGGTCCAGTCTGGCTTCACGATCTCTATCCTGCCACCTCTGCCATCCAAGTGCTGGGATTAAAGGTGTGCACCACCAGACCAGACTCTGTCTTAATCATTTAACTGTATAGTTTGATGCTATTAGATACCATCTCACTGCTGTGAATGCATCACTGCCCACCCCCAATGCAGAACTCTTTATCTGCGACATTGAAACTCTGAACCCCTAAAAACAACTCCCCACCCCATAACAGCAGCTCTCAGGTGACTCCTCTCTGTGTCTCATAGAAATGAACTCAGTGTTTGTCTTTTCAAGTCTTTGACTTCTCATAATGTCCTTATGCTTCATCTGTGTTTTAGCATGGGACCAAATTTCTTTGTAAGGCCGAATACTATCCCATTGTGCCTCATCACCCACCAGGGATAAGCAGGCTGCTTCCACTCACTACAGTAAATGGTGCTGCTGTGAATATAGGCTTGTAAGTGTCTCTCCAAGTCCGTTTCCAGTTTTCCACTCTGAACTTTATTGTTCCCTTCCACGAAGCTGTTCTAGTTTGTTTTGTTGTTTTTGTTATGACATAGTCTATGTAGCCCAGACTGGCCTCAAATTTGTAATCTTCCTGCTTCAGCTGCCTACATTTTGAGTTACATATGTGTGTTACCTTGCCTGACCATGTTTTGGGGGGATATGTTGTTTTGTTTTGAGACAGGATCTCATGTAGCCCAGGTTGGGCTTGACTTGCTATGTGGCCAAGGCTGGTTTTGAACTCCTGGTTCTCCTGCCTCCACCTTTCAACTGCCAGAATTGTGCCACCACAACTGGCTTCATACCTCTCTCTCTCTCTCTCTCTCTCTCTCTCTCTCTCTCTCTCTCTCTCTCTCTCCCCCCTTTCTGTGTGTGTGTACACTTTCATGTGTGTGTGCTCATGTGTATGAGGCCAGAGGCTGATGTTTGGTGACTTCCTCAATCACTTCTCCAATCTTCTTTTTGAGACAGGGTCTCTCCTGAACCCAGAGCTCATCAGTTCACCTAGACTCACTGGCCAGTGAACTCCAGGGATCCTCTAGCCTCTGCCTCCCCAGTGCTGGGATTACAAGCATACTCCTCTATGCCAACTTCTATGTGGATTCTGGGGATCCAGTCTCAGGTCCTCAGGTTC